GCCGTGGCCATTATCAGTCCTGTGCAACCTGACCTGACCTGACCTGACCTGAGCCTCAAGGTCGGTGTTGTTTGACAGAGGTCACTGCACCGCAATCAACTTGCCGGACGTGGTTTATTTTCTCACGTCCCTATTTTCGCGATTCATTGTTCAGGATGGCATCGGTCAATGGTGGAGCTAGTGGGGATGTGGAGGAGAAATCATCGTCCGAGATGACCTCAAAGGATTATTACTTTGATTCCTATGCCCATTTCGGCATTCATGAGGTACGTTCGTTACATATTCTTACGAAATTTTCAGGAAATGCTTAAAGACGAAACTAGGACACTGACCTATAGAAGTGCACTGATTCACAACAAACATTTGGTGAAAGATAAGGTCGTGCTTGATGTTGGTTGCGGCACCGGCATCTTGTGTTTGTTCGCTATCAAAGCAGGGGCGAAACACGCAATTGGTGTAAGCTTTGGTTACATTTACTTATTTTGTAGATTGAGTGTTCGAATATCATTGACCGTGCCATGGAAATCGTCAAAGCCAATAACATGTCTGATAGTAAGTGGGTTTATTTACTGTTATAAATGAGCTGGCTTTTTCAATTGCATATAATCCCGGCGAAATGATCTTCGCTTCAACCTCAGCTTACCATTCACTGTTGTCTGTGCCATTGTAATCTTGAAAATTTACCGTTTCCAGTATTGCCGCATGGTTCCGACATCAGTAATAAACCTCTTATTTATTCTTCGTGATAGAAATCACTCTTATCAAAGGCAAGGTGGAAGAAGTGGAGCTCCCGGATGGTTTCAGCAAGGTCGATATCATTATCAGCGAGTGGATGGGCTACTGCTTATTTTATGAGTCAATGTTGAATACTGTCTTATATGCGCGGGATAAATGGTTGGTAAGTTAACTGATACTGTTCTTGGTTTATGGATGCGTGTGACCCGTAGAAAACAGATTTAAGTTGATCTTCAGGGGCTGATTTTTCTGTGAGTGAAACGATTCCAGCGCATAGAATTGAGTCTGTTTGTATTTGATTCTAATCAATTAACCGGCAAACTAGCTCCGGTATAATGTTTATCGTATTATAAATCAATGTTGTTGACTGCGTCCTTGTTACGTCTGGTTTCCCCCCTATCGCGGCTAAAAACATTCGGTCAATACTGTGCGGATGTGAAAAATGAGCGACGCGCGCAAGTAGCTTTCTCCCGTTCATGCGGTGATCTCCATAGTTTCGCATTTACTATTCAATGATGGAAGCTGCTACAAACCCCAAACGGATCAGTCTAAATAGGAGATTTAGGGTAGGCCTCATTCCTGTTTAGATTTGATTGAACCGCTCGTGGATAAAGCGTACCGTTCGGATTCAGCCTGGAATTTCAGACCTAATCATTGATGAAGGCGATGACTGCACTTTGCACAAATCTTCGAACCTTGAGCCATTTTTGCTCAATCTGCATAAGAACCTCTCTGTTTAAGCCCAGCATTAATGTTGAGAGCCATCAGGGTTGGGTATTTGTAGTTACGCGGTCTTTAAATAGCTCATGAGCGTACATCTATTTTATCTTAGTAAACGTCAGACTGGCGGTTGTATGTCTGCAGTGCGTACATTCACATTGCAGTTGTTGAATCCAGCATATAATTTTGTCTAATCGGTCGATTTTGAATATATTGTATTTGGTTCGTAGGTGAGCTCAGTGTTTTAGTAGGAAGTGCACCTAGGACATAAATCGATTTACGAGGTTTCGGTTGTGCATTTGTATTCTGACTTGTGTTCTTGATCATATCAAACATCTGGTGCTCCCAGTTTGTTCTGTTCCAGATGAGCATTACATCAGGCTGTTCTAGAATCTAACAAGTGTTTCAGTTGGCTGGATAATAACCGAATATCAAGTGATGATTGCCAGTCTACAGCGATCTGCATTTCCTGTAACTAGCTCCAAATACTGATCAAGGAGACCACTTATTTCATGTCAGCAGTAGGGATGGTCCTGAGATCACTTACATCTTGAAGGAGAATGTGTACGTATACATGTATATCGTTGTCGTTAATTACCTTTCACCTAACAGCCAAACTTGACCCCTTTTCCACCCCAAGGCTCCTGGTGGACTTATCATGCCGGATCGGGCGACCTTGTATGTATGTGCAATCGAAGATCGTCAATACAAGGACGAGAAGATTAATTGTACGTAATTTTCACTAACCTCATGCACTAAGAAATCAAACAGCATATAATTTTGCGTTAATTTCCTTCTAGCTTCTCACTTTTGATTACATCGAGATGCAGTTGAGCTCAGGTGCTGATGTAAGATCTCCGTTCTGTTTTTAATGTGATGGACTCCATATTCATGCGAAACCACTTCGAATTTTCACGCACCCTTATCCTTAAGCTCGAATTGACTCATGAGGTTCTGAATGATACTGAACCGCTTAATGTTGGTTTTGGCTCGTCTTCCGGCTCGGTGTAATGTCCACTGAGCCCTAATGCAGCTCACCACTAAGCCCCCTGACTTACCAGCTGTCTGAGACTGAATATCACATCTAAAGTTGTTCACAACGTAAGTTACCCGTATTCTTCATGTTCACTTTAGTAGCAATGTCGGTTTTTCCCCGGTACTGTACTCCATCAACCAAATAGATAAGTGGAAGATAGAAACCAAACCGGCGCACCGGAGTGCAGAATTCAGGGTTGTAAACTGAGTTATATAACGCCCAAACCGCCTGAGCACTTAATCAAAGATAATCAAAGTATTACTTCAGAAGTAGAAGTTGATTGCAAATTTCAGTTACGCCCTGATGTCATTTTCCCGTATAAAGAATCAATTTTTCCTTATACTAATTTTAGGGTGGGACAGCGTCTACGGTTTTGATATGAGCTGCATCCGGAAAGTTGCATTGACTGAACCTCTCGTGGACGTAGTGGATCCAAACCAAGTGGTGACCAATTGCTGCCTGGTCAAAGAAGTCGACATGTACTCCATCACGGTCGAGGAGCTGAGCTTTACAGCACCTTTCACGCTCACTTGCAAACGCAATGACTACATCCAAGCCCTTGTTACCTTCTTCAATATCGATTTCACCTGCTGTCACAAACCGACGGGCTTTTCGACAGGTACGTTTACGAAAAAGCACTTCAGTTTTTACATCAACTTGTTGACCAAGTGAAGCACCTGACAACACTTACACGAGCAACTAGGTGCTCATTGATATCAAATTGATAAAAACTAGCCGTTCTCCAGTCGTTAAATGCCTGTCGTTTTTTTCGGTTCATTGTATGCTTGGATTTAACTCGGTAAATTTGAGCAAATTAATGCTTTCCTTGGAGGATCATCTTTGTTTCATACTTTTTTCGAGAAATTAATTGAATTCAAACCAATTTACTATATTCCCATCTTCGCAGAAATACTGTCAAAGAGTTGAAGTATCTACCATATGGAGACCCGGTTTGCATGAACTTTATTCGTATTGCATTCCCTCTATTCACAGGCCCCGATGAACGTCGCTACACCCATTGGAAACAGACAGTCTTCTATCTGGACAATGGAGAGGATGATTGTCTAACTGTAAAGAAAGGCGAACAGATAAACGGATCCATGTCGATCAAGCCAAATGCTCGTAATAATGTACGTAATTTTTTTTAATTACATCTAGGTGTGATGAGCAGCAGACGAGGTACACCCCATAGTCACGAGGACCTGCTGTCCAGTAGTTGAAATCGGCAACCTAAGCCCCGGAACTTGAAGTGACGAACCATATAAGGCCCGGATAGGTTAGGCGTGGTATTGAGCCGGACNGCTGCCTACCACCAAAGTCGGGTGGCGGGGCTCGAACCTCGGATCATAGGGTCTAAAGCACGCCAGTGACAGCGACTAAACCACTACGCCACCACCACCCGATTTTCCATGTTTGATTTGCCTTCGAAAACTTGTGATACAGTGAAATTCTGCCATCGTTTCATGAGTTGAGGTCGAAGCGAAACGGAGGTTTTCGGGATTTATTGTCAGATGGAGAAAATTCGTTTGCTCAGTCACTTTCTGATTTCAAATGTGTTCACGCATTTTTTACTTGCTTGTGCAATCCAATGATGAAATGAGAACATACCATTTGTGTTTACTTTCGTTTTATAGCGCGATCTGGACATCAGTGTAAAAATCCTCTTTGAAGGTGAGCTGTCAACGATGGATACAGTTTTCAACTACCGGATGCGTTGATCTTTTCCGGGTTGCACTCGCATCACAGATCTAATGGCTATCAATTCAGAGCGCCTTTTCCCTTTGATCACCGATCGAGTGTTCCCTCTCCCCAGATCCGGAATTCCAACTGCCGTGCGTGTCTGGTTTTGGCCTGTTTCTGCTGTATCGAACAATTTAACCAGTGAACCTTTTCCACCCTTCACCGGTATAATCCTGTCTACAACGCATCTCAGACGCAATCCACAATGAAGTGTACTCGCATTTACCAATCTAGGCTCTATCGTGGTGTGATAACTGATGGGAATCTCTTCCAACCTGCCGCCTATTATCCGTTCCAGACCCTTCCATTGAACCATACATCCACACGCCCATCAGCTGTCACTTTTCACATCTTATTGTTGGTTGCGATTTTCCACAAACATCGGTCTGTTAGACCGATTTTTACCACACTTGTCTTTTTGTCTTCGTATAAATAGCTCTTTGGAACGCGCTACCAATTTTGAGGTGTACAAAGCGGGTTTAAACTTGCTGGAGGGGTTTCGCGTTGTAGACATGAGAAGTAACAGACTGGCGTGGGCCGTAGTAACTGCCACTTAATCGTTCGGTGCGATCGTCAGTTCACTTTCGGGTTTAGGGTTAGTGAGGCCTGTCTTCTGCTTAGGACGAATAAATGGTGTGTATTTAGAGCTTTTTTGGCGGTGACTATAATAAACTGTTTCATTTCAATGTCACGTTGCTTGTCAACACGAATGAGATAAAATTCCTTTTCGTCATCCTGTTTCCAAAATCCTTAAGGGCGAAACATATTTAGAGCAATGTGCGATGTTTTTGTGGCTGTCAGTGTCCGTTGTTAGTCTTCTTGACGCACGTCGGTCAATTCCGACCGGCAGCGAGCATAATGAAACGCGACTCA